ATGTGAAGAAACATAATTTGGTTCTTGTTGGTGAGAACAGGTAAAAACTTCAAAGTTAATATAAGTCTACTTATGGATATAAGAAAACGAAGTTACCTCGACAGTTAATACAGGCGATTCTTGTACAATGTACTCTATTATATTTACTGCTGCTTCTAAGCCGTCTACACGAATACTCTCCGTCATTTCAGTTATGTTGGCCACTTGCTTCATAAGCTCTTCAACACTATCTCCATTTGGAAGAGACTAATTAAAATATATATAGTGAAAAATTTAACAGATTTATTTACAATACAGAAATAGTGTGAGATTGTACAACTCTTAAAGTGACGTTAAGTTTCAAAAATTATTTTTGTTTCATGTCTGTTAATAGAATAATTTTAATCGCAAAGTTTTCAATATGCCGCTATAAATATGGAAAACATGCCAATCTTTTCCATGACTTCAACAATAATTTATTAATTTATCTGCAATACATCAATTAAGATCGACTAACTTATAACCTCATTAGTAGGATACAATTCATACTTTATTTCACTGGGTTACACAATACCAATAAGAAGAAAATATGTAAAAGTATTGTAATAAATGAGATAAAAAGAATCCGTAGTCAAAATGGTTTGAATAAATGTTTATATTATTGCTTTGTACTATTTTGAGATAATAAATGACATATCTTGAAAGAAAAACAACTATTAAAACTACGGTAGTATTGAGATTATCATCTTGTTAAGATGTTACAAGGTACCTTAGACACAGGTCTAAACAATTGATACAAATTTCATCATAAACATAAATACCGGTATATGTTTATTACTTAGGTAAAAACTCACGCTATAGCCCTAAGTATTCTTACACACACACCAAACAATTTACATCTGAGATTTAAATAAAACCTGATTTTTTCATGTCAAACAACATAATAATAACCAAAAGAGTAGATGAGAACTCCTGCTTAAATCCTGCTGATTGTGATGTACGATTATAAACAGCTGATATCCTATCCATCATAAATCATTAATATAAGTGTTCATAAACTATTAATAGAAGTAGTTAATTCACGCTATAACCATTTACAAGGTACATTCCTAGAAAATACAACAAACATTTCACATCTGGGATTACAATAAAACCTGATCTTGTTATGGCAAACAAAATTAGTAACTCAAAGAGTTAATTCCTGCTAAACTCTTTCAAAGTGTGACGTACGATTATAAATTGTATAACAGTTGATACCAATTTCATCATAAAGTAAATATAAGTTTATTAGTATTTAGGTAGTTAACTTACACTAAATAGTTGACGTAAAAGGTAGCTTGCAGATGCTCCGCCACAGTCTGTGCATTGGAAACTGTCCCAGTAAGCACCGTTATCAGATTGTACACATTGCCTTACAGCCAATTTAAATTCAACACCTAAAATTTAAAAGCATAAATTTTGATTAAACATCAAAACGTAATTGATAAAGTAAACAGATACATAATTTAGAATAGTTTTTTCTTAGATACACAATTTTGTCCCAGTCATTGAACTAATAATAAACATTATACTGCACGTAATTATCGTCTCTATCAGGTATTATGAAGGGCATTAAACTTATCAATGTTTTCGGTGCAACTGCAAAATGTCCCATTATATTCTAGAAGTTAAATACGGGGATAGGGACATGTCCTATCCCCATATATTTTTAAGGGGAAGCGTTTTGCGACAGTTCCGTAGTTGTTATACAGGTATTAAAATTATTATTATTATTATTATTATGATTATTATTATTATTATTATTATTATTATTATTATTATTATTATTATTATTATTTATGACTCTTATAAGTATGATGATGCCATGAAACAAGTATTATTAAAAGTTTCTGATAAAAAATCATGATTTTTGTTGGACTATATATTCTGTGAGTATAATGGTGATGTGATGATACTGAATTTTATTGTATAGGAGTGTCATGTTCGGCCATTTAGAGGTAGGCCTACCATTTCTTCCCATTTTTTGTCACCCACCTTTTAAACTGATTTGTGCTGCTTTTTAGGATTATCCCATCAAGTATCAAGTAAGGGAGTGCCCCTTAGATTCCTTACCGTTTACGGAATCTTCAGAGCAGGACTCTTCGGTTGTGACTGTTGACCCTTCCAGCGTAACTGGCCAAGTGAATGTTCCTACCTTAGTCTCAAATTCCTGTCGCAGGCAATATATTACTAAAATGAAAAGAATCGTGGCAGAACATACTTTTTGATGAAAATTAAAAATGATTCTTAGAATAGTTCATTTAGATATATATTTATTAAAGTCTTATACGGTTAAATTGGCTTCCAAGGCCTAGTTCTAATTAGCCCGTGATCTGGTATCGTAGGGATGTATATGACGAGGAACGATGGACCAGATCCCCCCAGGCCAGGTCGCTATCTTGGGTCTTCTCCTTCGTTTGCTTCCCACGTAGCCTTGGAGGGTGATGTAGGTCTGAGTTGCTGTTGGTAATATGACCAAATCAGGAGAGTTTTCGTTTGCTAACTCTGTCAAGATGATGTTCGGTCTCAATCCTTCAATTACCATGATATGGAACAGTTATTATAGGACTTATTTTACTGTTTGTTATTTTGTGAGTGCTGAACTCAGTGGTGGATCCAGGGGTGGCAAGAATCTCGCTCATCTACATAAGAGAATTGTCACTGAGTCAGAGCAGTGACAGACAACCTACATGATTATATATCTGATATGAGTGAAGAGAAGCAATGTAGAGCACCTTCTTCCTCCGGGTCCTAGCGAATGCACATCAAAGGATTGAAACACCAACCCCGCTGGTTAAGAAACCAAACCGCTTCCACATATTTATCGGGAGTTGATAACCTATGTTGATGATTTAACTTTTAATTGGTACTATGACTTTATTGTGAGAAATCAATATTTTATTTTAGTTTGTGAGTGTTTTTCAGATTACACTCGATATTCAACAGCTGTATGTTTTCACTCCTGTAACTTCATAACGAAATGTCAGATTTAATTTTATAACTTTCATTTTACTACTTAACCCTGTTTAATAACTAAAATTTATTTTTTTCGTGTGGAGTGATTGCTTTTGCTTGTCTTTGCCAGTAGTAGTAGTAGTAGGATATAAGTATCATTATAATTAAATATTATCATAAGTATAATTAAAAGTACTATTATAACTGTGATAGTCACATTAAATCGCAGCATTTGCTAAATATCCATACCATGCTTATTAACTTCCAAGCTGCTTAGATCTATGTAATCTGTTTTCTCTGCAACATTCATCATGGCTGCATTGATGACGTCATATGTGACATTTTCTTCACAACTTACAATAAAATCAACCAAGGCAAAATCAGAACGATCAGCAGATTGGCGGAAACGAATTGTTGTGACATCGGAGAGACCCAGCGATTCCTCCTGCGCTAGATATGGTCCGACCTATAAATTTAAAGGGAAATTAAGCTAATCAATTAATTAAACTGGTACTCATTGCGAAATCTTATATAAGGGGTCAGATTTGGCTTCAACTGCCAAACTTATGCGCACTTAAGCTACAGTCAATCTAAGATAGGCTAGATAAAACTAAGATATTTCATATGGATAAGAAAAAAATACAAAATATTTATTGCAGGGGTGGCGCCAGCGGAGGGCCAGGGGGGCCGTCTGGGAAAGCTGCCCCCCCCCCCCGTCGGGGAGAAAAAGCACAATTCGTCGGGGAGAAAAAAGTATTATATGTATTTTTTACATATTAGTAGACTTTAAAATTGATTAAACAAGCCTTTGAAACCCCTAAATTGTCGAAATTTTCGGGGGCTTCGCCCCAAGTCCACTTTCGGAGCCTCTTAATCGAAACTCGACCACGACCACTTTGCTTTCGTCGGGGAAATCTGACACCCCGTCGGGGACCTCGGCCCCCACCCCGTCGGGCAAATTCTGGCGCCACCCGCTTCCACAGCAAATAACATTTGATAGTCTGCATGGCATTAGCGAGCTATTTGCTTCTGTCATGGGCAGGATGTTTTTTTGGTTAGGGAATTTTTTGATAAATGAAGTTACTTAATATATGTAATTTATTTTTGCTATGATATTTGTATTTATATCATGTTATTTTTAAGACCGCGTCGTCGTCGTCGTCATAGCGTACCCTTATCAGAGCGTAGCTTCTCTCACAGCAATATTACAGGCCTACTATTCTGTGCCTTCCCTGTCGCCTTCTCCATCGTACCTAAAACCTCTTTCACCTCAAAAGCCTCTTTCATTGTTACAACATTATGTTATACTTATACGACTGAAGCAAATTGATAAAAAGGGAATTAGAGTATAGCTTATTAAGAAATCTGACAATAACACTACTACATAATACTTGGTCATGCGTTTTTGTCTAACTGAAAAGGAAATCAAATATAACAATTGTAGGCCTATGGCAAAGATGGGGGACTTTGAAATTATAATAAAAGCATTAACAAAACGATCATCAAAGCGACCAGTATTCACAACACCTTACCTTTCTCCTTTATCTATATAGGCCCCTATCGTTATTATTATGTGTGTTTAATTAGAACGAATATAAAAATATTCAAATCTGACAGGCACTATGATTTTTTTCGCAAAGGTGCCCTTTTGCAATAATGATCCTTATATCTGCTTTTGAAGTTTTCTCTCAATATGCTTGACATCCTCGTGTTATTTTTACGATGTTATCGTGCTCTCTGTTACTGATGCAATCTCTTCCATTTGAATCGAATAGATAAATGGAATGAAGTAAAAAAATAATCGAATAACTTTCTCATAGAAAATAAAAATCTACAGTATTTTGATTTTATGGACTGGATGGAAATTTTAGTACAGATCTCCCTCCAATTAAAGAGCCCTTCAATTAAAGACCACCTCCAATTAAAGACAACATTTCTGCAGCCCCAGTTGAATGTCTATCTTTTATCCTAGCTGTTCCAACCAAATAAATATTCCCTCTATTTAGAGACCAAAGAGCAAAGTTTTGGCGGACCCAGCTGAAAATCTTCCCTCCAATTAAAGGCACAATATAATAAATGGTGAGGTTAATGATTTTCTATAATAAACTGTGTTACATATGACTTAGACATAGAAATATTAGGCAATGCATTGTTTTGTATATATTGAATAACGAAAAGGTTAGGACAATATGTTAATGGGAAAAAAAGTTCATGGTTTGGCTACCATGAAATGTTTAATTATAATAAATAACAGCATGCAGTAACTGCACATCCATTTTAAAGCATTTAATGTTTTTTTTTTCTCTCTAATTAAGAATCTAAAGACCACATTTAGTGCCCAGGGGTCTCAGGTTTTCTGCAGAGCCCAGGAAATCGACAGGAAGGACTCCAGCACTCTCACGAACAGAAACTTCGACAATAAACCACCTCCCGCAAGTTCAAGACGATATTTGCATGTTTTTACAAGTTTTTACTACAGCATTATCAATTGTTTCGCAGCAGTTAGTGCCAATCATAATTGTTATCACCATGCGCACAGCAAAATATATTTAGATGCCTTAAGAAAATTCATTTAAACAGATCTCCCGGGTGTTTCTTCCAACTTGGGACCCCTGTTGAGTTCCGGTGATTAATTATAAGGATAACTGCACATCCATTTTTAAACACCCTACAGTATACATCAACAAAGTACACAAAATAAGATGATGGTCTGTGTATACAGTGCTCTATATTGAATTAGTAGGACGGTGTTGTTAGTACTATTGTAAAGGTTACTTAAGTACAACAAGCGCAGGACTTGATGTGTGACTACCGGGAAATGGTATATTAGGCCTAAGAATCAACAACAGCATACAATAACTGTACATTCACTCTAAATATATTTGGAATACACCAATCTTACATTGTATACAGTGTATTTATTTATTATATCATCAATTTCTTAATTTCCCCCTAAACAGAGATATTTAAAAAACACTTTTAGTGTCGATCTTTAATTAGAGGGATTCTAATTAGAGACCAAAGCTGATAAACACCACTAAAACATTGGTCCCGAAAGTGGTCTTTAATTGGAGGGACACCTATAGTTTGTGGTAGATCATAGGTCACAGACCTACGATGCCTATGGAAACATTATTGTCTGTATGCACCCACCTCTTCATTGAATTTTTCTGCATAGTTGGTGAACTGTTCGCCGACGTCATTGTAGAGAATTCGTGGTGAAATTGTTGACGCAGAAAACGGAAAGGTATATTTAACCGTTGTCGGAATAATAACCGTTTCGGCATCTGTACTCAGGTCACAAGCGTGGTCTCTTGATATCTGCAATGTACGACACACAATAGTATACCTTGTTGTGTTTGCTAAGTGTTAATCTTAGGATTTGATTACAAATAAACAAGAATAAGGTTGAACCATGATGGCATGGTCATGTCTACGTGTGTC